AGGAGGAGGGAGGAGAGAGAGAGGAGGGGGAGGAGAGAGAGAGAGGAAGGAAAAGAGAGAGATTGCATGAGGGCAACGACGCGCTGTCGTCAGAGAGCACGAAAGTCCGGGTGGATACTGAATGGTTCAGAGCAGGGAGAGTGGTGAGATAGTGATGCGTGTGCAGTACGTGGTGTGTGCAGTTTAGTCAGCTTACGCATATTTCTCAAATTGAATTTGAAGCAGAAGTGAGAAACTCCGAAATTATCCGAGATTGGTACGAAATTATTAATTTTATTATTTTATTTTTCAATTGTAATCAAAAGATTATTGTTCTCACTGTATTAACTACATTTGTGCAACTTATGTTTGAATTGAAAAAGTGAAAAGAAAGAAGCAGATTAATGTCGAATGAACAAGTTGAAGGTTTTTCAAAGCAGCAGTATATTTTTATTTGTGTATAATAGAAAAATATTGTTGAACAAATTTAACAAATAATTTTCTAAAAGAAATTAAAGTAAAATTTTACTTTATATTACAAGTGATATAATTTTTGTGTTTGGAACGGTTAATATTAGTAATATTGACAAAAATAATTAAATATTTATTAAAATTATTAATTAATAATTTTAAAATATTAAATTAAATAATAGAAAACATATTAATTAAAAATTATTCATTATTCACTGAAAATTGATTGATAATATAATTTTATATATAATTTCATTATTACATTTATTTAATTACATTCTCAGAGAAATAATAATCTCGTTATATTACATACTTAAATATTATAAAAGACAGCTTTTTCATTTGCAATTTTTGAAAAATTTTCTTTCGAAAGATTTTGCTGAAGTCCTCGGTGCCCGATTTATACTTCCGCCGTATGTTTGCCTTGTGACAGCCATATGTTTATCTCAGACGCCGTCGAACGGTGGCAAATGGTTCCGTGAAAATATCCACGTGCATACGAAAATGTATTTATGAGAGACGAATGCCAAGCTCTTTAGAATTGTGTCATGCGTTCACGCGTGATCCTCGCGAGTGATAAATACCGCGTCTACATATCGCTGTGTCGTAACGCGGTATCATCCGATTGCCAGTCGTTAGATAAGAACATCGTGTTAGTCGATGAAAGGAAGTCAGACGAGCGTTACTTATATCTTTGTGCATTGGGCAACATTTTTATAACAACAATGGTGGGAATAATGAGAAACATTTATCAGCTTGCATAAGATTGTCATTTAACACATTTCGTGCTGCGTGTACCACGTGATTGAACTTTCTATTCAGGCCGTTTAATATTTTGAGCATAAACAAATACATTGTCATAAAACATTTCATAACTTATCTTTTTTGTTTTAAACTGTACTTTATAAAACATCTTCTTATGTTGATAATAATGCATTTTTTAATCTTAAATTTATTATAATATATACGTTTTGAGCTCAAATAATGAATGGGTCATCGGTAGTACACGTGACCTGAATGGATAAACCATGCAGAAACGACTCGGCATGGAACGTGTTAAATAAGCATATTTTATTTTCTTATCTTTTTTGCTGCAGCCTTACTTTCCATTCAAATGCAAATCTATATTAGATAATTTTTATGTTACGTATATTTCTATATTAAGAATTTCACAAAAAAATATTATCTCTGACACACATACACAGCATGCTCGATTTGTCGGGTCATTAATTCTGAATTCTTATCAATATTTATTCTACAAAATACATTTTTAAATTATTTTTTCTAATTGTGCATTTTAAAGTTTAAAAAAAATTATAATTGTGATTTTTTATTATCATTATTTTTTTTTTTATCATACATTTTTGTCCGGATAATTACAAAAGAATGTAATTCTATCATGCGTGAGTATTCCTTCATACTTTTGATTAGTACACTCATATATGTTCTCTTTCTAAACTTTAAAAACATTAAAATTAAATTAATACTTCAAGTGAACTTCTCGATTTTTTGCAATATCGACGCATCGTATTATTTATATCTTCTTCGCGTCATTGCGTTTCGATCGTCTTAGCCATGTTTCGGACTAATGAGTCTCAAGACGAAGGGCACGTTATCCACGCCGGCGGCTCGTGATTTTGCTTACAGTGGGGTTGAGCATGAGGATGAGGTGTACAGCGTGCGCCAGCAGGCCGCACGTGACAGCGGCACGGAATTGAAGCCGGAGAGAGCCTTGCCGACGCTGGTGCCGACGAGCGATAGTAGATCGAAGAAAGGCCCGATAGTGCTGGACGACGAAGAGATTTCCGTGAAAGAATCAATCACTGTCGACGACGAGTCAAAAAGCGACGATCGGCCGCTCGCCGTCACCGCATCGATTTTCCGTTCGGCGAACGGGAAAAACGACTGTAAGAACAACTTGCGAAAAGACAGCGACTTATCGAGACCGGTACAGGAGAAGGCATTCGTTCAGGCGCTCAAAGAGTCCCTCGAAGAATCGATTAAGGAGTCTCTGAAGGAAAACAACGAGCCGGTGGTGGCAGAGCGACAGGAGCGACCGGCGTTTGTGAGGACACCCTTTATATTCCAGGTACGATCAGTCCTCATTTCATGTTTGACATTTGATATGGGAGCGAGTCAGGTTCATGTAATTTTTGAAAGTTTAAATAAACAATGTAATTTATAAACTTCTATTCTTTTAACAATGACTGCAACGTGAGAAGCGTGTAATATAATATAAATATCGATATATTAGTCAACTCTGATTATTGGATTTCTTGGGTTCTATCACTATCACTTATCGATGTAATCCCATTGCTCACACTTTATCACTTCAATGATAAAGTAAAAATAATGATATCATAAGTATCCCATATTTTACAAATAATAACATAAACGTGATAGGAATTGTTCAAATTTCTATAGCTTGTTAAAAGGATAAAATTAAATTTTTAAAAATAATATAAATAAAATTTAAAAAATATTAAGAAAATACTTGATAAAATTTTTCAAAATTATTTGTTTAAGAGGCCGAGCTCTAAGTTTTAAATTACAAAGATATAAAATGCTTGGAAAAGCAGTCTATTAATACAAATATTACAATTAAAGATACAGTTTGATTTCTATTGCAAGAGTTGATTCCAGATCAACATTGCTCTTATCTCTAGCCATAATATCGTATCCTTGGCCTCTTCCCCTCTAGATTCAATCTTTTTTCAGGGTAAACCGGCGGTGGTACGCACTTCTTCAGACAGTGCCGGGCATCGAGATTGTCCGCAGGCGGTCACGAAACATTTGTTCACGCCACTTACACCCGTTGTACAACAGCAGCAGCAACAACAACAACAACAGGAACAAGCGCAAATCTCCTGTCGACCGCCGCCGCAGACGGCCACAGCGAGTATCTTTGCGCCTCGCACCGAGGACATGAACAAAGGCTTCTTAACGTTCAGCGAAGATCAGCCGGGTCTCACCAGTGCGTATTTTTTGTCAAAACAACATTGAATATCTTCCAAAACAAGCCCGGGAGCTTAACTTGACACGATGTCTCGAAAAAAAGCAAAAGTGCTTGAAAAATTAAAAAACCGATGTTAATTATAAGATAACTACGAAAATTATTTCTCATTTTGAAAGTAATTATTCTTCATTATTGCGTGAATGTAAAAATTTTATTCGACGAATTAATATTAATTATTTTGCAGTCCTGTTTTTTATATTGCTTTCAATTTAAATGTCCGATTTAATTTGGTTTCTTAAAATAAAATTTAGAATACCAAATAACTTGGTGAATAAAAGTGCTAATTTAGCACTGTTTGATTTTTACGTCGAGCTCTTAAAACTTTCTCATGATTTATGCTGCTATTTTTATCTTCCATTCTGGCCAATGTTTAATCATCATTCGGAGTCACTAAACGACGAGGAAGAATATTGCCTTGTAAATCATATTGTTCGTTTTTTGCAGTGTTGAAGGACGAGCCAGAGGACTTGACGCACCTTGCGCCCACACCCGGTGACGTGTGCGTGCCCTTGGAGGACACTCCGCTTTTATCAGACATGCTAGACGAGTTTATCTTCGGACACGATACCTACAGCTCGCTGCTGAGCTCGGGTGACACTTTATCACCAGAACTGCGTTCCGCAGATCTTTCAGATCCCTTAAAGGACGCGGATCTGGTGGACACTACTGCCAGAACGAAGGATGCGGCTGACCGTCTCGCCGACAGTGATCCCTTCATGTACGGCGATTCGCCCGGAAGTCCCTGCGGCATCGACCCGAGCTCCGTGTCGCCGTCCCTCTCGAAGTACCGGCAGGTGAATGACGATTTTCGTTGAATCAAAATTTACATTTCAAACTTTTCTTTAAAAATGTGGCATTATTATTTTGCCGCGAACCAATGCGTGTATTATTAATCTACGATGTGATCATTTTACAGAGTTCTGAACGCAGCGTGGACTCGCTGGGTAGCCCTACAGGAGGCAGCGGCGGCGACGGCCTTTCCGAGGACGAGATGCTTATGTTAGGCATCAGCGATGGTATAGGAGACGATGAATTGGCTCTCAGGGCACCCTATATTCCGATGTCGGACCAAGACGAAGCGCTAGAGCTGCTCATCAGCGATGACATGGTCATGTGGAGCCCGTCGCAATCCGTCGACAAAGGATCCTCAAAGTGGTGGGTATTAAATTAAACACTGAACAACGTAAAAAAATAATGCATTGTATTTCTTCGGTTCCGTTTTCATAATTTTGTGTTTTTCTGTCAGGCTATTTGACGACAGAGAGCAGCGTGGATCAGAATCTAGTCTGGCGCAACTGCTGCGGACCGATCAAGCGGTATCGCGGCGATACAACGACCACGGTGGAGGTTTGATGAATCCCGCGCACATCTTCGAACAGACATCTAGAAAAAGTAATCATGCATTTTTCCAATTTTTCTTTTTTTTCTATGATTTTATTATTTGTTGAATTTATATTTTAAATTATTTAGTAAATTTATTTATATTTTATATAATTTTTATGTTGGTAGTATATTTATAACTTGATAGCACAAGCATCGTAAAACATGTAATACTAACACATACATTGATTTTGCAGGCGCAGTCTTGGAAATCGATCGATGGTCCTCTAGCCAAGAACGTACCGATCGCCCCAGTAAGCGCAACCATTCTGGACTCAATACAGATTTCGGGAGCGAGCACAAACGCCTCAAGTGCGAGGACTCGTCTTTCAAACACATAAGCCTCGAGGACACTTTGCTGATGAGGCAACAACGATCGTCTCACAAGAAGTCGCTAAGTTTGGACAACACCTGCGGCAGCCAGCTCCTACGTCGCCTCGTCTCGCCGCAGGCGTCGACCGTAGTGTCGCAAACCATGTCCTCGTCCGACGGCGAACGCCGTCGCAACACCTTGGAGCAACGCGCTCGCGTTCTCGACGACATCATCGACTTCGCCGAGTCGGAGGGCGACCGCGGCGGAGGAAAAGGTGGAGGCGGAAATCGCGGTGGCGATGGTCCGAATAAGATCGATGGAACGAGCCGGAGCAGAAATCCGTCCTGCATCGCCGGCGGCAGCAGCGTGCTAATGAACCTTCTGGTTTCCGGCTGCGATGTGAGTGCGGGTTACGTTTGCTTGGTGAAGCCGAAGAGAACGGCGAAGAGCATCGCGAGCGCGTGAGGACGCTTCCGGAAGGAAGCGGAGCGTTTGAAGGGCCGCCTCCTTTTGGCTGTCGCCTCGTCGTTGTTGATTCTTCGAGAGTCAGTAGTCTCTCGATGTAGCAAAAGTTTCGGACGCGGAAAAATGAATTCTCGCGGGGAATGCAATCGGAATAAGGGAGGGCCGTTTAATTGGAAAGAACTTGGGCGTTAAGAGAACCGCATACCTCCAACCATAAACTTGTATTTCAAGTCTAATAGTCAAAGTTCGATCGAACTAAAAAGGGAACGAGCTTTAGATTGGGATAGATCGAGATTTTGCCAGACAATGTTACGAATGGATAAGCGTTTACTTAGCAGTTAGATATTTGACAAATGTTAACGTGCTACGCCGATATTATCCGTACATTCATCCGGATTTTCAGCAAAGATATTTTGTGTTACGGAAATTTAGTCGAGTAAGTCGCAACTTTGGAGAAAATGATGAGGTGATATAGATAATATTGGCATGCGAGACGATGAAAAGCGAAAGTATTCAGCAATTCTCGGAAATTCGAAATATAAATCTGGATAGGAAAAGCCAGAGGAGGCGGCAAGTAATAGTTTTCGTGGTATCCGATCGCGATTTTAAACCGATGGAAGTTCTTCCTGCTTTTTATACGTCCGCTTGTTCATCGAGCTTGCAGGCGCAAGCTCGAAAATCGTGTCTGAGATTGCAGGGAAAGATTAGGAGAAGAGTCGCACGCTTAGAGAGAAGAGCACGCCAAGTGAGTTTGTTGTAAGTTGAGGAAGAGGAAGCATAGAGAAACGAGATAGATTCGCTCGGTCATTTAATCCTAAAATGCACTGCGTTCTATGTTTATCGTAGATATAAAATATAGACACAAAAAGAGTATAGTTTAGGCGATAATTATGCTTCTTTCCTATTAAAAATGAATACGAAGAGAATAACGTATCGAAAAAGAGAGAAAGAGCTGTGTGAGTTGCATTATGATGATTTCTAAAGTTGTATGCGTATATATATATATAGAATTATATGCATCCAGCGGAGTGCATCTTAGGATTAAATGAGCTGTACTTTAGAGCCACGTTATGTATACAAATTGCAAAGTATATAGAATTGTTGATTGAATGTTATGGAAATACATGGAACATCGAATCATCTGATCAGCTGCGTTTCGTTTCCTACCACCGTCAGTCCCCAACATCCATCGTTGTTTGTTTCACGATTTGCAATTTTATCTCTAAATTTGTCATCCTATAAAATTTTTTATTACCAAATTTTCAAGGATTATTCTTCCCGAATAAATACAATTAGATATTTCTTTATTTTATTTTTTATCAATAAATTGTTAACAAATATAATTTAAGCTAAAATTTTTTAAAAGAATAAAAATTTTTAGCTGTTGCTGAAAATAAAAATTAAGTTTCTTTGTTTATGATTTGTGATAATTTGAAAAGATATTTATTTTAGAAAAATTATCTTTATATTTTTAATTCTCTTTTAGTAATCTTTTCAAGTCGAAGAAATCAACTATTTAATTTTAAATAAAAAGTGATTTATATTAAATAATTAGTATAGATGTATAAATTATCAATTATATAATAATACATACACACATAATCCGTCATTGTATTCTTTATTCACTTGATAGCAAAAATCATGGTTCTAGAATAACTATCGTCTTTTACAATCTGTACACATACATACGTTATATAGAATTGTGAAATGTACACACTAGATCATGCAAATATGATAGTCACAGTCGTTTTATTCAACTCATGATTCATTTATATTCATCAACGATCAAAAGCGACCTTAGTGTCACGCAAGCGACAGAGTGTCGAGCGTTACAAAAGGGTTTATTGAAATAAACGCGTTAGTTATCATGTGATCTTACTCTCCTTTCTCCCTTCCCCTCGAAACGCAACTGTATCTTTCTATATCTTCCTCAAAAGTCGACTGCAAGAAAAACTCATTTGCTTAATACTGAAATTAGGTGCTTAATTAATAATAAGCTATTTTATGAAATAAAAAAGATATATATTATAATTATTTATACAAAGATATATATATTGAAAAGGTGAGGGTTGTTTAATTAGAGACTTAATTTATTCAAAGAATTTATCTAAATATTTAGCTGAAGTTATTGTTTTTTGCAATGTTTAATAATTTCGTATCTTCCGCTATTTTCTATTAAATATAAAAAGTACTATCAAATTTGATTGAAAAGCATTCCTGCGCCTTTTCAAATGCATTCTACATACAAATTCTGATACTAATTGCAATGATTATTTTAGGATCCCCTGATGAATTCTCGCAACGTGCCGACTTTGTTATCGAGGAACTTGACGTCACCATTGTCCGTCAACGTGGATAATCAACTGGTACCACAGCACGCGAACGCAAATAATGTCATATCCTTGCCCGACCACCTCAGTCCAGATACCAGGAAGCACTTAATCGGACCCTTCACCGGAGATGCTGGCGGCGGAGGAACGACTCCTATAATTTCGCCTACGACGTCAGCAATAGCGGCTTTCGGCGGTTTTGGTTACGACGAGTCCACTGCGGGTCTATTGCAAGTGGGGCCAGATCTTCTTGGAGGCCTACTGGACCGAAACTTGGTGTGATTTAGCTCGCGTGATCTATCGGCCGCACCGGAATACGTTCGGTTGATCGAGAAAATTAGAAGCCGAATTCTTCCGACATTCACCTTCTTGGTGTCAGGTTTCAAAATTTCTTTTTTTATCCTTCTTTTATATTGCGATTTGTGTTTATTGACGATGCAATTAATATTTTTAACTTCTTACAGTTGATTAATTTGCAGGAAAGAAGCAGAGAAAAAATAGATAAATTTTAAAAATATATTCGAACGAAAAGCTGCTTTAATTCATTATTCAAGATGATTTGAAAATTTATTTTGCTGCGTTGAGGCTCTTTTCGTTGATACAACTGAATAATGATGTTGCTAATTAATGTTATTATAAGATGCATCACATTCTATTACAAATACCAAAAATCACATGATATACTACATATAAAAATAACAAGAGAAAAGACATTAGAACACTGATATGTGGCGCGCAGAGAAATTATATAACAATTCTGCTTCTAATTTCTGCGCTCATATTGTTGTTTAATTTCCGGTGTTCTTTAATAATGGCACTATTTTTTTACTATGTATTAAAAATTCCAGTAACACGACAATGAAATGCATTTCGTGTCAGATGCTCAAAAAATGTTTGATAAGATAATATAAAAGTGACGCGACTCGAAAAGCTTAAGTCCAGATTTAATTAGATATTTTTTAAGTGATTTTTGTGTTGCTTGAACGACATTTTTTTACATTATTTCCCTGAAATACGCGAGTGTGCCAATGCATTTCCATAAATTAGGATGAAACAATTCATATAAAAATTAACCCATACATTCTAATGGATTGCGTGACAAGTTAAATTCGACAAGATGATGCTTTGTTGTAAAAATGAGAATCATATCCCTTAATCAGATCGAGTGATCAAAGACTGTATCATTGTTATAAAATTGTGATAAGAAGACTTGAAGACAATTCCCGATATTCTTTACATACAAACTTTTTTATATAATATAATGCTTCTTTTCAATTTTTTAACTTTAACATTCTTTTCATCAAATAATTTTAATTTTTTTCATTATACGACATTATATTGAAATATGTCGATTGAAATTATTTGAAGAAAGTCATGCAAATTAAGTTTGATGTTCTAGAAAACTATTTTGCAGTATAAAATTTTTCCAATTTTGTATTATTTTTATCTTTTTCTGTAAAATAATGAGATGTGGTTTAAGATGTATGCACGATAATAATTGCATAATTATTAAAAGAATAATAGTAGCTATTATATGTACTTATAACAATAATAAAAATAATTGAGCTTTAAGAATGTTTGTACATAGATAGATACTATAGTTTAATTTAATTCGAAAACATGACTTTATTATAGTCTTCATATCATAAATGATTGGTTCATCAATCGTCTGTGATAAATAGGATCCACTGCTGTGTGCTGAATATGTGTTTTCGAACTAAATACGCGTTTTGTATGTAGTAGAAAAATAATATTAAAGATTTGTGCAAGACTTCTTGGGGATAAAGAATATTCTGATATGAAAAAAATTATTAAATAATTCTTCTTACATTTCTAATTGTAAAAAGAAGAAAATGTTATAGTCTTTAGCGACTCGATCTGTCTTTTCTAAAAACTTGTATATAAACGAATGCATTTATGCGAGTGACGTGCAAATTTGCGTGCATATATATATATACACACACACACATATTAATTGAACTAACAATAAGAGAAAAGTGTTAAGTTTAGAATATTGGTATCAGGTGTGAAAAAATGATAACCGATTATTTCATCGGTTCAAGGTTCAAGAAAGTAACAGTTAAAGAGCTAACAAGGAAACTTTTCCATACTATTTCTATTTTTAGAAGTGCAGTTTGTTAAAGCTAGAAAATGAAAAAAAATACACATCTTTTTTATATTTCTAGTTTTAAGTCCTTAGAACTTTGCTTTATGAATATTATAAATCTGATTGAATGAATACTGTTGAATATGATGAAATAATATAAGAGCAACAAGGTTATCAGGATTTCCATCCTGAATCCTATGAAGTCCACAGAGCATGACAAGTCGCAGCGTTGCTGTTTTCTCAGCATCGCATATCAGCCACGACGTCACGATGCCAATATTTTTGTCGTCATCGTCGTCGTTGTCGTTGCTAATTGTTGTTACTGTTATTATAGTTTCTACTAGACTTCACCTGGGATCATCGGTTCTTGCCGTTGCGTCCTGATTGTTAGGTGCATACAATCAATAAATACCGATATGATTAGTACTATGTTTATCATAGCAGCAATTATTACTATTATTATCATACATGAATATAATTATGCATTATTATAATTATATTATTTTAATATTTTTTATTGCAGGTTTAACCATATCGTTTAATAGATTACATATTGCTGATACGATGTAGATATGATAAAAAAAAAAAGGATGATTCTAAAGTTAGCATATCTACTTAGTCAATTCTTTATTTCAAATTGATCAAAAAATTAATAATTTGTAAGATATTACGTATTTTATTACTAAAATATATACTACAATGTTGATTTTTTGTGCGATGATTATACTTTAATATTTTTATATGCAAAATAACTAAAAATAAGTGATTTTGACTTTGAAGAAAGTCAATAGTGTTAAAGATCGATAATCAAATAATTATATAACCATCGATTACAAGTTCTTAAACTTCGCACATCATGCAATATTAAAATCAAATCATCCTTATTTTTTTAAACAAAACTAGAGATATCACTAAGTGAGTCAAGTTTTATGCTCAAATATATAGATTTCAGTTCTAACAAGAAGTTATATTTTCTTTTCAAGTTACAATGATTTTATTGTATTTCTATTTTGCTATTGAATAGCTGGAAAAATAATCGAGAAACAAACATTAGTATATATGTTTATTAACAATTTTCTTAGGCGTATAACTATGATGTGAATCGCAAGTCCTAACATTAATTCTTAGAATTACTTTCCAGATGTGAACTTTGACAAGCCTTCTAGCAAACTGACGTACGCTGTGTGTTCGTAACATGTGCTTAAGTCGATCAGTTTTTCCGCAAACTCATTTGAAATACCTTTTTCTTCGAGGTAATTCATCAGCAGGTCATACAAATACTGCAAAGTAAATAGCATTTTATTTGACATTTAATTTACTTTATTTACTTAAAAATAATATATAGAGTTGAGTAATTATAGAAACATTAAAAATCCATAACAAATAAGGAATTGAAAATATTAGCAATAACTGAAGAATTAAAATAAAGCATACATGTCGCATTCTTACTTCAAAACATCATGACAAAAAATCATGATCTAATTTTATAAGAATGTCTATAATTTCCCAAAGATTAATAATCAAAGTTAGCCATTACACGGCTCTTTGTACTCAACACTTTGGGAAGATAATTACCACATAAAACTGATTATCGATGTTGATTATTAATTTGTAAAGTTTATATTTGTTATACTAAATAATTTTCATGTATTGCAAAGAGTTAGACTAATAATACTTACACCATCGAGAATCTCACCCGCCACGGAATACACCTTTTCACTGTGTCCTCCATCATACAGCGTGATTTCATCAATACCAAATATATCATCTGAGGAAAGGTATTTAAACATTAAAATTAAAAAAAAAAAACTAAAAAATAATAAATTGAAAACATGATAATGAATCAATTAAAATATTATACTTGAAATTTCAGCTGTTGTATCTAATCACAAATATGATATGTATACAAGTGTATTCACATACTAAAAGATAGATTGACCAAAGAAATATCATCCTATATTCGACTTTAAAAAAGTTATAGCTGATATACATACTGTAATTATCATCGGCGCCAGATGCACCAGGTTGGTTGTTAAAGGAACACGTGAAGCCCAAAGTTTGATTTCCCCTAATTATATCTATTGTGAAGTTTGGCTTGCTTTTCATTTCGCCTATCTCTACATCATCTTGACGAGGATCCACATCAGCCTCTGTATCTGCGTCTACTGTGTGGTTTACATTGAAAGAAATGTGGATTCTGGAGAGAATATTACAATATATTAAGCATTATAAATTTATATCTTTTAAATATCTTACGAAATATTGTAAAGTCAACTTACATGTCAGTGCCATCTTTCTTTTCTAGATTAACTTCTGCACCATCTAAGGAAACTGTGAAACCATCTAAAGTTGTTGGTATCGTCTTTAACTTCTGTGCTTTCTTTTCCGCAACTATTTCCTCTGCCAAAAATTCCACTAATTCTTTCTCCGCTAAAAAAATTTAATAAAATATTTTTATAAGACTAATAAAAAAATATATTGTTTGGATATTTTTGTACACTAAATAAAATAAACATGCTTATTGAACTAAAATAAAATTTTCCAGCATAAAAAGCAAGATTAAATTGAATTCCAAAAATAATGCAAGAAATCTACATTCAAAAAATTAATCATTATTTACAAAAGGTATTAAATTTTTTATATATAACATCAGTAAAAATGATAATCAAGAATGTATAAAAGAATATAAAAGACATATTTTATTACCATTATTCTAAGGAATATGAAAAACGATAGGAAATATTCTATTTTATAAACTAACTAATCCAAATCAATTTATTTTTATCAATTTTATATATGTAATAACACATAGGTCTCTTTATTTGCAGCATAATAAATATGGACGATTTTCACTTAATCGAAGCCACATGATTCTATGATCAAAGATAATTAAAGAGTGGTTTATTCGATATCTACATCAACGCTCATCGTAAGTTGATACCTTTGGTATGTGATTTGCTATAACATCTACGGCTACGGATATCATGGAACTTGAGTGAAGAGGCAAGAGGCGCAACTTCGGCGCCTTGCCGGCGAATGCACATGTTCCACAATGCTCGGGCGGGTTGATTACTGCCGTTTGACGACGACGACAATACACCACGAAGAGTTGAGGCGCGTAACGCGCTTCTGACGATGCCGTTCATCCTGCCAGTGGATTAACGAAATTACAACGGCAAGGCAACGTGGAAAATCAGTAAGTAAGCGATGCAGACAACGCGGAGCTGCAGCGACGATCACAGAAGAATGATTGCGTCACGACGACTCGATTTCCGGTCTGTAGAACTCATGCGGTCTCTAGCGTGAGAACGTTGAATTACCTCTGATTAAGGCGGATTTGTATAACTGCTTAATGCAGTTTACATTGCGTACAATATTAAATGTCCAATCAGAAGATTTGTTTTCTAGAGATTTTAAGCAAAATCTTTACCCGGCTTGACGTAAAGGCAGGTTTGAATATCACTGAACTCGCATCGCGTGCGTGATCCAATAGCGTGCAAGCAGCGAAGCAGCCCAATGGCAACAAATTACTTGTTGCGCGTCACAATCTCTTTGCAGTCTTCAGTAGCTCCGTTTTTGTCGTCGTGGAGCATCGCTGCTGAGAATCGTTACAGCGTTATATTACGACATCGTCTTCAGTAAAGACATGATTCGAATGAAACGAGAACAAGAAAAAAAAGGAGAACAAGAGTGAGAGAAAGTCAATGTGCGAAACGACGCGCCCCTTGACGTAGGCCATTTTGCGTGGCGTCGAGACTGATAGAAGGGCCTGTTCCTCCAGGGGCAAGTGCGCCCGTTCTTTCGTTCCAGATACGTGTTTGTGCAGAACTCGACACACGGAATTATTTGAGCTTGGTTCTCTTTCATCGGAGTTTACGCTCTCTTGGACCAGCGATTAAAGTTCAGACAGGACATCACATCACGGTGATCTGAAACGGAAGCAACAAGTAAGACGGCCGAAATCGGAAAGTCGGTGAGCGTGCGAAAGTGGCTTGTCAAGGAGAAATCTCTGCGAATCAAATAAGGAACATTATTCCCGAAATCAAAAACGCACACAACACGATGGAAGAAACAGCGGAGAAGATAAGTGAGTACAGTCGATTTAGGATTCTTCTTGTGTAACAGTGTTGTGCATTTTAATGAAGTTGCATGTGTGTGAATACACTGTGCATGTGAAACTATGAAATTACAGATGTTTTCCTTGAGCTGTTCACTAGGCGCCCAAGTATTACTAAATAATTGTGTAGAACTCCCAACTTGTTTTATGTAATAAAACAAACGAATTTATATGAATAATATCTTTTATTTGATTTATTATTTGCTTGTTATAATGTTTATTTGTTTTTTGTCATTTATTTCTACTGCTATTTCTTTATTTATTTCTATGTTTTTAATCTCAAACAGATAATTAGATTCAGATGTTATCTAAAAATAGTATTATAGTAACATTAGAAAAGTAGAAATTAATATTAAAATAGTATAGAAGTTTAAGTTTGCAAAATAACAAAACAATTAATTTTACCTAGTGAATGCATTATGTTATTAAAATAACAGTTTAATATATAATTTATGTATTAATAAATTTCTTTTATAAATAGTTTAATTTTCTTACAGAAATCATAAAGATAGAAGAATGTGGTAATGTGGTGATTGAGAATACAACTACAGAGATCTTGTTTGGTAATTTAATTATTTTATAATAATACATATTGTGATAATTTAAAAAACAATATAATAAATATTCTACTGTTACAGATTCAAATGGCTCACAGGATGAACCTGTTATAGTAGCTACAGGACCTGATATGAAAGGTAATTATATTTTGTGTTTAAGTGTGTCACAGCTTGTCTCAGAAGTTATTCTCAGTTATGTAATTTTTGGCAGATTTATAGTTAATTTTTTGCAATTACATAATTTTCAGCATAAAACTCATTCTTTTGAGACATTCTATCTATTTTTTCTAAAATACTTTTCTAACAAATGCTTGTGAAATGTATTCTTATTAACATTTTTATTTTTTAATTTTTATTTATTATTGTTTATTTTGTTTTGTTAACAGTTATTTCTGAAAACGGTCAGATTCTATCGATTATAAATGATTATGAATGTGTGACATGTCATCGTGTTTTCCAATCTGAGGATGTAAGTTACAGCTTTAGTTTTTTGAATTTTTGTTTTACACATTAGCCATTTTTTCCATGTTTATTGCTCCTGCTAATTTTTTTTTGTTTGATTTTGGAACAGATGTTAAAGGAGCATTTAGATATGTGCAGAGAGGAAGATGATTCAACTAATGTTATGGTATTTGACGATATGACAATTTACGTTTCGGAAGAAGAGGAAGAAGAAGATGAAGAAGAGGACGAGGATGATTTAAATGAAGGTACATAATGATTATGTATAAAACAACGTTTATTTAATTACTACAAAGGATTTTACAAACTAGCTACACTTTTAGATTCAGATTCCAAGAGCCAAAAAAATAACAATGAGAAGCCTATGATTAAACCTGTATCGGATACACAATGCCATTGCTGTGCAGAAGACTTAAAAACAGCGCACAATGGTGGAGAGTTCAAATGTTCCCACTGCGACCTCAGTTTTAAGAAGAAGTCATCTCTGGAGAGGCACATTATAGTTATACATTGGAAGTGCGACTCGTTTACATGCAATGAATGTGACTCTTCCTTCCGTGATAAAAAAGCCTTGAACAAGCATCGTTATACGACACATGGCGATCATAAAATTTTTAGGTATGCTTATGTATATATATTTTACTATTATATAATGTCATAAAATAATTTTTTATCTATTATATAATGGAATAAACTATAATAAATATAGTATAAAATTATTAGATTAGTTGTAAAGTTTCTTAGTTTTTTCTATGAAAATAAAATTTAAAAAACTGAAAAATTTTTTAACTTAATATAAAAAATAATGTTATCTTGTTACATAATTAGATGTGAGCCATGTGACACCTATTTTTCTCGGAGTTACCACTTAAATCGGCACATAATGCAGTCTGGTTGTCACGGCAATATACTTAATACTTTTAGTTGTCAAGTAAGTGTAATTTTCTGTGATAATTCATTGAGAACACTTGAGATTTTGAAATAATACGAGTAACTACCGTTTCAGGTTTGCAAAAAAGTTTTTACACGTAAAGATAATTTGCGTGAACACTTACGCACTCATGCTGGAACGCCCCAGAGACAAAAGAAGCCTTGTAAATATTGCCCAAAGGAGTTTTACACGAGCCAACAATTACTGATACATGAGCGCATGCATACAGGAGAGCGACCGGTTCAATGCGATTTGTGTCCGAAAACATTCCTGTCGGCGCTTGCACTGAAAAAGCACCGGCGTGTACATACCGGGGAGAAGCCATTTGAATGTAAATTTGTAAGTATCTTATGATTTTTTCAAATTATACCTTTGAGTGATTGCAAAAGTTTTCAACATTGCTTTTCTTAATGTGAATAAGTAGATAGATATAATAATTTATCGCAAAATTATTATTACAAGCTATCATTGTGGATGGAAAGATATTGCTGTAAGTTTCTACATTTTTATAAGTTTTTAATGAAAACAACACGACGTATTAAAATATTCTGCGATACTTTTATAAAAGACAATATTTAAAATTAAATATTAGTGAAACAAATAACATTAATGATCGATATTGCATATGAGCTATTTAACTTTTGTTAATACAATTTCTATATTATTCATACTATCAGTGTCACAGAAAGTTCGCTGCTCGTGAAACACTGAATCGTCATCAGCGTACTCACACCGGCGAAAAACCGCATGTATGCCAATACTGCGGAAAATCGTTCATTCAGGCAGCTCAATTAAGGGCGCACGTGTTTCATCATACTGGTGAAAATGGTTTTTATTGCGATGTCTGCGGTAAAGCGTTCAATCGAAAAGCGCGCTTAAATATTCATAAGAAATTTGTACACGAGGGAGCGATTCCGTTTATGTGCCAGGTCTGCGATAAAGGTTTCACGCGAAGAGAAGACTTGGTAAAACATGCACTGCTACACACTGGAATAAAACGTAAGAAATATTAGATATATTATGAAAAATAGTCAAAATAAAGTTTCCGCTTCTTTTCTCACTATTTCCATTATTTTAATTTGTATCGTATTTTGTTTATTACATTTAGTTTGTTATATATTAATATTGCAGATTTTTTTGCATTGCAAAATCGAAATAAATATGTAAGGAGCCAACGTTGGATGTTTATGCTAAAGTTTTTTTATTTACTGGTACTAACAAATACGTTTTAGTTATGATGCGACACTCTGTAGTATTTATAATTTTTTGCATTATGTTTCAGCTTTTAAATGTGACAAATGTCCGAAAGCCTTCTCGGCAAAGTCATCGTTGCAGGCTCACCTCAACACTCATAGACGCGAGCCGCCTCAATCATGCGTAGAGTGCAACAGAGTCTTCATCCGACAAGATTGCTTAATGCGGCACATTCGAGCAAAGCATCGAGAACTATTGGAGGATGTCATGAACGAGGTCGAGAAGAAGCATTTGCAGACACAGATGTATAATATCGCGACAATCGCTGCGGCTAAAACGAAAACTGGAGAATCCAGAAAGCTTTCCACCGACGAATTAATGAAGGCCATCATAGATCTTTTAAAAATACTTATTGACGAAGAAACATTACAAGTATATATCGATAAACATTATATATTTGAGAAAGCTTTGTAGATACGCATTGACTAATATGCAATTTGATTTGATTTTATTATTGCGTTGTTTTATTATTGCTAATTTAGTTACTTATTGATATAAGAATATGTTGCTGATAATTGCTAATTTAATTGTGGTTTTGGCAGCTGTTTGGTTGGCCGGAAGCTCCGATACAAGACATTCTTGAAGCCGTGATCAGAAGATGCGGACACGAGCCAGTAACATCGGAATCCTGTATGTTGTTCACGGACAGAATGCGACAAAACATCAAACTTCTTTTCACTGTTGTAATTGAAGATGAGTCAGTGAAGTCACTCTTGACGACGAAAACAGTGGACGATGTCATTCTTCATGTTTTAGAGATATCTAACAAACAAACTTAGGATAATACAAACTTAGGAGAAAAGTTATTGAAGGAATTGTATATCATAATGCAACAAAAGCGTTTCCACTTTTTTTAAGGATATTTCAAGATTTACAAAATGCAAGAAAAGGAAAGTAATAGTTTAACTACATAATGAAGGATATAACATTGGGAAAAAGGTTTGCAAATTTTTTTTTAATTAATGAATTTTATTTTACTGATAGGAGATATTAACATCATGTGTTGCAGTAATAATTAATTTTAAAGTATTCATTGAAATAAAGATTTAGATCATTGATAGAATATTGATATTGAATTTGATATAAAATTTTATATTGATTGATATCAAATTGATTAATTGATATACTTATTAAAATACTTATTAAAAATATTATACACACAACCTTTCTATCATAATTTTATATTTATATTTACATTTTCGCAATGGTGCGTATTTGTTGGTAATGTATGTTGTCTGAATGATTGCATTTATATATATTATATATAGATTTATGATTACATCTTTATTCTTATACATATAACTAGGAAAAATCACGTTAATCAAGATTGTGGTACAAATAAACCATAGCTATGTATATCGTATTTGTATATAAATACATAAAAATTTGCACAATACAAGCAAGTATTGTCAGGAGAATACAATTTAAAAAATTATCAGGTATATGTATACTAAACGTAGAAAATACTTTGCACAAAATTAACAAAACTCGCTAAATCCTTTTTATTGTTTCGTATTACCCGCTTATTGTTTGACCACGTTTCCATGGTTACCGACCGAGTTACGTCGGCGATGACGACTTCCGCAGTACTTGCAGTTGACTTCCGGTTGTCAGTACAGCGGGATGCGCTTCGCCGCACAGGAATCGTCACTCAAGACAGTCAATTGCTCTTAAGGATTATCGGGGACAAATTCTCAAGAATTCTCATTGCGCTCCAGAGAACGCTCCGGATTTCATTCTCAGTGGTGAGTGCGCGTTTTTCTTTAGCTCTTCTGTTTGTGTTTTTTTCATATCTGAAAACATCACGGCGATCACAATGCAGCGCACGTTGCGTGCCGAAGTGAGGTCAGTATCGATTTTCTGGCTTTACGACGAGTTTGTATTGTCGCGCAGTTCTGCGGCTCGTAGTTTAAGATACAAAATAGTAAAGGCACAAAACGAGTCGTAAGAATAGCTGAATATTTGTAATGATTTCAACGTTGAAGGTGGAAAACTGTACCGCCTTACTTTTGGAATCTAAGACATCTGTAATATAAAGTTGCCTCTGTTGTGACAAATGTAAAGACGTGTAAGTATAATGAATGAATTTATGAGGTTAGATTTATTGTAGGAACGAGGTAGAGCAATATGCGCGTGCGCACGTAATGCTGTGTTATGCTTCGAAAACGTCAAAAAAATTAAGTGCTACTAAGGCAAATAAGATTAAACAGACGCAAATTAGAAATATTTCAATTAAATATAAAAAATTAATTCATTTGTGACTGACTTCTAGGAACTATATTTTTCATAATTAGAAAAAGATAATCTAGTCTTTCATATCAAGATTTATATTGATGCAAAATGTAATATAAACTTTGCCATCATTAGATGTACTCTCTATTCACTTGTCACTATTATTTTTTGAAGAAATTTGAATATAGACTCGTATTTAATTTTAAATGGGGGAAATATCTAGGGGAGCTTGGTCGGAGGGAGCCACGTGTTTGCTCTTGCTTCGCGTTGTAATTCACTGCGTTCATTCGCGCTCCGAACGCGGCGGATGGTGCACGACATAACGCGAAATCGTTCCCCTCTCCGAACACCGTACGTAATCTTCGCCGATGTCAGTGACAGACAAGTAGTCTTCAACTGCTACCTATTAGATGTACTGCCGGCCAGATACCAGCCTCGTCCGTGTCTTATCGATTCGCCTCAAGGTTAGTGAATGCAAGCATTCTCGTGATTAATGACGCATTTCTCGAGTGCGTGAGAGCGTCTACTTTTTCTTCGGGTATAAGCTAATTCGGTTATATATAGAGTGTGATATACCGCTCTTCTGTGCGCACGATTGTCCGCGTCTTGCCGGTTCGAAGACTTCGACTCGTGTCGGCGGGGCGGATACGTGAAATCGATTCCACTTTGTAGAATATAGCAAAGATTAATTATGTTGTTTTGGACGTTTTTTTTTTTGCGAACGCTTGAAGTAATACGATATCGAGGGAATATCGATTACACAATGAGGAGGAAAAATTAAATCCTTACGCATGACGAGAGAATTTTCTAGAGCATTTAAAAATCTATGAAGAGATTTAATGATTACAAATACAAATAAGCAATATCTTAATCTTCTAATATTGCTATATAATTTATGAATAATTTTTTCACGAGCTTTTGAAATTGATTATTTCTTGGCGAGAATTTGATATTAAAGTTCTGCAGAGTTATTTCATAAGAAAGTTATCGTATTCTCCGCAATGTTTGTAATGTGTTTTTAATATGAGATTTATAATTAAAGTTTAACTTCTTATTTCTGTTAAATAGAATTTACTTGGTTCTTTCTTTTTAGCAGGAAAATAAGATTTCATCGCTTTTCACATTCCTAGTCTTCGAAATATTTTGCTTTTCGGAGATTAATATGTTGGTAATTAATTCTTTCAATATATTTCCGTTTGCACGGACGAAATCGATTTTAAATTCATCGAAGAGTTTGTCATCGCAAAACAATTTAGAAATATTGGGACATCCTGTATGCGCAGTAGACATACCGCTCAATTTTCTGATTGAAATTTCCGATTCAGATATCGGGATTCTGAAAACTGAATTAAATCCAGTCCCACTTAATCGAGTAATTATTATAAATGTATGTTAACGAATGACTCTTTTTATAATAATCATTATTAATTATATAAATTATAAGCTTTTCTATAATTAAATTATGCATAACTATATTATTTTTTGAACGTTTTCTCATATTTGATTCAAAGATATATATTTGATTGATGTAAATATATTCTCGGATTTATAATTTGTTCTCTATAATCGTAACACAATATTCATCTTTATCTTTAAAATTCATATTTAGAAAAGCGAAGCAATTTATTGAAGTAAACAAGCAGTGATCACTTTTTGGTCGCATTACAAAGTATAATACTGAAAAAATTAAAACTTTAGAGCAATCTTTTAAGGATTTTTGATTACATACGATTTGATTTTTTTAAAGTTAATTTTTTCATAAATTATTGTACTAGATGTGTTTTTTTGCAAATCTGTCGAGAATTTTTATTGTTTATATAATGTTATTTTTTGTTGGCCGCAAATCAATTTGTTTTCTTGCATTTTATTATAGAGTCACGGTATTTCGAATAGAATTATAACGATAATGCCTTTACACTGAGTTCGATCACGTTTGACATTTGTCGCATATCCCGCCGGTCAGGTTTCTGACTTTAGTGTGCACTTTTACGATGTTGATTAGCTGCAAACATCCAAGTAACTTGAAATAGTAAAGATAAATATATACTTTGTGAACTGTTCGAGTGCGACCGTGATGTTTTACTTAAGTTTATCCGGATATGCTTACAGGAAAAAGTTAAATTAATAACCAACTTCGATATTGTTAAAGTTTATCACGGCTTTGTAAAATTATATTATCCTTGTTTTAAATATGTGCGGTTTATTTCATGACTCGCTTCTGCAGATTTATTAATTTCAACTTGTGATTATTTGCGGTCCTGCTTGTAATTAAAAAAGATCTGAAAGCGAACTAAAATAAACTGCGTGTAATTAAGATGAAAATAATTCGCGTAGTTTCTTCGCGTACCTGCAACAATTTAATCAAGCAATTATTATTATTATATACATAAAGTATTCTCCAAATATTTATTATTCGATCTGAAGGTTGCGTGAAAATTAAGATCAAGCAGAGTTAAATTCCCTTATCATTAAATTAACTTCTTCATTTCTCAAATAAAAGTTGTCTTTTGCAAAATCATGCGTACTGCTATTAACTTTCACCAACTAAGCTGCTTTACGTAAAGCGCGTAAAATTAAAAGTCGAGTAAAGAAAAATGTTCACGAGATGCTCAGCGGATTTGTAATACATCTCCCCGACTGTTATTGTATTTCCGTGTTTGCGAAAACCAATTGCGGATTGTTGTGACTTTTTTTTCTTTTTTCCTTTATATTGGCTTTCACGCGTCATTCTTACACGGTTGACGGCGAATGTGAGTGACTCGTGTGTACATGAATGGGTAAAATTATTGATTTTCCCATCCATCCCTTTGTATTTATAGCGATGCTCCCGTATCTATCCCAGCATCTAAAGTTGTGCAACACTTTCGACACGTTATACCATTACTACCACACGCGAACAGTCATTGTGCACGGCGCGCAGCTGAAGACCGTAAATTACGCGCGAGGATGTGCCGCGAATATAATTACTGTAATAATTTCAATCGAGTTTTACTTTTATTAGCATCCTTCACTGCATGATTCCCTGTTATTCTCGACGTATTGTTTTCGACAATATCGCGCGACGCAGACACGTGTCATGCAAACCTTCGACGATGGCATTGAAGTATAAGAAAGATCTCATCTTAATTACACGGTAACGATTTAATACTAAATGATTAAAGACAATAGCGATATTACAATTGAAAACAATCAATATGTAATAAATCATGTTTTGCAGGGAGAAGATTTTATTTTGCAGAATTTATTTCCGCGATAGTATGTTCAGGGAGAAGTTCTAGAATTGAAGTAGCATAAACCGCCGCGGCACAACATGTAATTTTTTCATGCTCCGATTGTATCAACAGCGCGTGACAAAATATATGTTTGCACTCAGATCACAATTTTGCCTTTAGCAATATTGCGCAATAGGAAAAGAAAGATGGATAGACATTTGATGCGCAGGCACGCACTGTAAACTTTCGTTGCTTGACAGATGACTGATTAAAAAGTAGAGTAACAATCACGCTGACGTAGATTTGTGAAAAACGTGTTTTCGTTTCGCGGGAGCTTTGAAAGAAATAGTTTTCTCAACTGCGGAAAACAAAATTCCGTTCTTTTCCCTTTTATTTGCATGACAGCGAATGCTTGTTGTGATTACAAGTGTCATGCAATAAACCAATTACTTCTGGTATAAATTTCTATTTTTTTATTTAGATTTGGTTTTTTTGTGATAGAAATATCGTGTTTCATCCTAAACGTGTATCTAATTTCAACTTCAAAGTTAATGTTAATTTTTGTAGAATTTTAATTAAGAGAAACAAACGACATTTTTCGCAGTGTTTGTATGCAGCAACAGATATAACCGTCATGATAAAGCTTATCTCGTGACGTGTCAGCTGTAGCTGTCAAAAGCGTTTTATTTCCATTATCAACGCCGACGCGGTTTTATTACTAGGATTTTATTCTCTTATTTTTTTAAATTAAAAAATTGAATGCATAATGGAGTCAGATTTGCTCTCCCTTTTCTTTCGTGTTATCGCAAATGTCTCGTATCTCGTGTCAAGCTTTCTCTGCTCTAATAATTGTTACTAATGAACCGCAAGCGTGTGTAAAGTGATGCAAGTGCATCAGACCGCCATCACGCTGCGGCACAATCGACCGCACACATACGTGTCATTTAGGATATTCTCCACCACCCACTTGTGTAGTTCGACCACCCGAGACAAGAATCGTGGGTGGTGATACATAACTGACGTCGTCATCAATGACGGCACGACAACACGTCAATTAGTTCGCGCAATCCTTTAGGGATCACTTCGACGTGGGCCGCAGAATTACGAGATGATGAGTCATCTTTTTTTTCTCTCTTGCGGAGAAACCCCCTGGGATCGCCGACCTCGTTAAAATATTTCATTTCTTTACTTATTTTTGAAATGTAAATAATTTATGAGTTTTATGTGATTTGACGTCAGATAAAGGAAAGACGAAACAAAAATTCTTGTGCAAATAACCAGAAAAATTCTTATAAGGGTGAAATACTCATAAAATACATAAGAATTCTCTAAAAGTTCGACATTTTTGAAAATATCAATTGCAAAAAAAGTCACAAATTACAGAATTCTTAATAAGATAAAAGAATTGGCTGTTTCAAGATATTTGGAGAAATTAAGCAACAATACGCTCAACTGTTTTCCAAATACATCTTCCAAATTAAATATACGCTCAAAGTTGGCACGCTTTTCGGTATCGTTTATTTTTAATCCTTGTTTAAAGAATCGTCTTCTAAATATTTATTTCAAAAAAGCTACTGGTTAATTAAAAGAATAAATAGATGATAGCCGTTGTTCAATTAAAATATGAAATCGATAAATCATTGTTTCAAGAATATTTAGATAATTTAGATCAATTTTTGCGCGAATTTGTAAAATCTATAAAGATATATTAATTTCACGGATGCAGTCGTGTCACGCGCCTATCCGGTCGACCCTATCATCGCCGACAAAGCGGTCATATCCGGGTCCGGTGATCGTTTTCCGTCCGTGATCTTGGTGAAACTCGTCACAGCGGTAGAGCGGCGACACGCCGTACCTTTCATCCTGGAAGCCTGCCAACTTCCTCGAGGGCAAGGACAGAACTGGCGAATATATCACACACCGCTATACTTTTACATTTGTACTAACAGCCCGCGCGCTGCGAGCCGATCATTATTATTATTTCCGTTTTCCGTCATGAAACTGACCGACTTCGTAGACTCCCGAACTGCGACGCTATTGTAGTCAGGAACATTGTGCGAAAATATCACAATTAGGCGAGTGGATTTTGATCGCGAATACTCCAAGCGAACATTCTAGGTGCAGTTTGTCTGTTTTGCATTCGCGTCAGACCCATACTTTGAACCCTGCGGCTTTCAACGTCGCAGCTCTGAGACTGAGATTCTCTGCGGTTTGCGAGGTTGGTCGCCACAAAGTGGCGTCTCTCGCTAGGGTAGTTATCGGCCAACTCGGCGAAACCGTATTTTAATCACTTGTTTTAATATTCCAATGTCAACTGTTTTTTCTACATTTCTCTTCAATTTTTCTCGTTTCTTTAATTTGTTCCTTGTTAGTTTAGTTAAGTTTCTTTTAACTGAGCTATATTACGTTTTTTATATTCGAAATGAAATACATGTATCGCAAAACTGACAAATGTCTTTAATGATAGATTCTTTGACTAATTTAGAATTGATTCCTTTTTAGGGACAATGTCGAAGGAATTCATTATTCATTGCAAGTTTCAATTTTTTGCATTATATTATTGTAACTAAGCTTCAAATTAAAATTATATTGAATTTTATTTAAGGTTAATAAAAAATATGAAGTGTTGTTATCCAATTAGCTCCGTGAAATTTAGTTTGCACAAAAATCCTTCTTTTTCAATTGCTTATAATTTGGATATTATTATCTCGACTGAAAAACGATGAAATTGAAATCGACTAAAGAATTTGCTATTAAAAAGATATTGTCAGTTTTGGGACACTTTTTATAACTGGTATTAGGAAACCAGGAAAGTATTAGACAAACCAAGAAAAAAAATAACGTAATTTTTATAATAAGAAGTTATTCTTGTTATATCTTCAATATAAAAATATTTGAGATGGAAATCTATTTATAATTTTATGTACCGTAATACAGGAAATATTTGAAAGACTTGAAAACATACATGCAAAATAAATATCGATGATATGCTTTTGTGTATGTATTTTCTGTGATTCTTGAAATATTTTCTATTGTATAAAATTACAAATAGATCTCAATCTCGAATTTTCTTTGTTACTATAGATTGTCTTTGTTATTATAGATTGTCTAAAGCGGGCTTAAGAATAACACTCATTATCGCTTAAAGCGCTCTCTCTTCTTTCGAGTGCCCTTTTTACCGTTTCTTTCGTCTGAAAGAGCATCAGAATTACTTCTCATCTCTCTCGTCCAGTCTATTTTTACCTAAAAAGCCTTATTATAAATATATTTTTCTTCTCTTGACATCCCCGGCGGGAAGCACGACTGTTTCTTGACTTGCCCGCACCCAGTTCCAACCAGCTGATCATTTGTTCCTGGTCGCGCCGGCCACGTCGGCGTTGAAAGAGCTACCGCGACAGGGAAGGGTGGACGAGAACGAGCGAGCAAACGACGACGAGGCCGACGACGAGGCCGACGACGAGGCCGACGACGACGACGACGGAGATGCCGCGTCGCGTCGCGTCTGCGCGCCATCGTCGGTGGGTCGGTCGGTCGGTCGGTCGGTCGGGGGTATTGATTTTCCGCCGTGTCGCGTGTGAGTGTGCAGTCGCGCACCCGCGCTGACCACGTACATACACACGCGTATACACGCACACGCACACAGATTTACACATATATTCGCCGGCACATCGCGGCGCGGCTGCGATCCGTCCGCGGAATTCCGCAAAGTCTCTCGCCGGCATCGTCGCCGAGTGCTACCCCTCCGGCAACCCTCGCGAGTGATCCTCCGCGAGGCTCTCCGGGGTCCCTCGATCTCGAAAACGAGACGTGGTGCGATTGTTCCTCACCACTCGTGCTTTATTATCGTGGTCGCCGAAGAAGTGGTCTCCTCGTTTCTCGTAAACGGTGCCTCTTACACCCATCCTGCTCCTCGTCATCTCCGCGAGGATCTTAGGGGTGGTCCCTGAGACGCGACTCCACGAGGGCAAACCACGTTTCCGTTTCTTGTTTGTCTGGCGTGAGCAACGTCAATCCGGCGTACGAAAACCACGTAGGGATACTTCTTCAAGAGTGAGACAATCGCATCTTCCCATCTTCGTGGAACTATTCGCGCTAATCTCGCGCTCGCTGCTTGCGTGTTGCAGGCTAACAGTCGCTGATTTTCGCTGCCGCACCAGGAAGCGCGGCATCACCTCACCGTCGCCGGTACCTCGACGAACCGGGAGGCGGCGGAAGACCAGGGCCACACACGCCGAGGAGGAAAGGAGGGCTGTCGGCCGGTATCCTAGTCTCATCGGGCATCCGACCACCAGCCGGCGATGCCTGCACCGACGTCAGCGGCGGGTGCGGCCAGCGAGGGCGGCCCGCCCGCAGCGAACTGCAGGAGTTACAGCTCAAGGCCGGTCAGACCACGGATGAGGTGAGTCGAAATATATACATATATATTGCACATGTATGCGTATGTATATATTTGTACGCGCGATGCGATGCCGTGACAGCCACGAGGATTTACGACGCGGCTATTTGCGCCGGTTCCCGGCGGCTTTTCGGAACGAAATCAAAATTTTCGTATGGATTTCAGGCAAAAGGTCAAAGGGAAATTGCATTTTGCACATTAATAATACATTTATGTATTTATTATTTTTTTTGTTCGATGAACTTAAGCCGAGCTTTCGAGCAGCTGTCGTTAGTCTGTCAATGATAAAACTTGATTAATTTGTTTTTAAAAATATTTAAAAATGAATGAATGTTTCTTATGAAATATTAAAAGATTAAAAGCTGTTTTTTACGATTTAAATTATTCTAAAATGAAGAAATAAATGTGGAAAAACAGAATATTTATTGACCGACCAAAACACACGCGACCTTCAGTTAGAATACAACGCCATTACCAAAATTCAACAGTTTAGCTAATAAATAATTTTGAAAGAATATGCAATCTCGAAACATAATAAAAATATATATGACTGTTTTTAACATAAAAAATCCTTTCATTTTTACAATTTTGCAATTTGTAAAAATAATAACAAGGGGTGGAGTAAATAAAAAATATGACATTAAAAAATTCAAATACACGATTATAAAGTTCATTAAATAATTACAAAAATTTATAATGCGCACAGTACCTTTATTTTCATTAAATAGTAATATTGGAACAAACTTTCGAGTTAATCCAATAATTGCGCCAAATTCATTTCTCGAGAACTTTTAGGTTTTGATTTTAAATGCACAAGAATGAATCCTTATGTTCACTTTAGAAATTTGCAATACAGATTAATACAATAAAGATTTTTGAATTTATAATGAAAAGATAATGATGTAAGATTTTTTCAACGCTGTCGGAAATTGATCGAATAACATTGAAAACATTTGGTGCTTTTTTACAATTTTAGTTAATTTGAGATTGCATTAATGTTTTAAATACGCAATATATTTTTTTAATAGACAGCGAAAGAAGCAAAAGAATATAATTTATTTCCAAAACTATTATCGCGTGGCATCAATTAATTAGACAGTAAAGATAGTAATCATTCTTTGAAAATAATGAGAATGAGAAAAAATTCTTAGATTAAATATTCCTGCTAAAAAAGAATTTTGATGTACAATATCGTCGAAACTGTCAACGATAAGCGTTTTATTTTTACAAGGAAAGTAACGCAAGTGTTTTCTTCCGATTTTTACGGGCTTTAAATATGTATAGAACAGCTAAAAATAGAGACACGTATTTTTTTTATTTACGTTCTTGCATGTTTGGGGATTGAAATAATCCCTACAAGCAGTCTGTTTGATTTTGAGGGAATATATGCGAATCTCGAAACACAAGCAAAATATATATAACTGTTTTTAGCGTAAAAAAGAATTCAAATACACGATTATAAAGTTCATTAAATACCGTAAAACTTATCTGAAGCATTTTCTTATATCTCTTATAGTTTTGACGATATTTTCTTGCGTCACTTTTCTTGTTACGGCGCGATTGAATCGCTCATTTCGAGAAAGTCGTACGTTTGTAAACTGAAAATTGAATGAAAACATTGACGAACGGAAATTAATATGCGAAGAAATCTCATCTCTGAGAGACGATTTCGAATAAACTATAGTTATATAAAGACTTGATAACAAAAATAGTAGAAACATTCTCTTTTTCGAAAAGAATCTCGATTCAATCAGCTCACGTGATTTCTCGCAATAACACGAGAGAGTGTTGGTCACGTGCGGTGATGTAATCGGCGTGATCGGCTTTGTTTCAGTCTCTGGAGAGCACGAGGCGTATGCTGATGCTATGCGAGGAGGTAAGTCCATCCTTTTCGGCATTGGTTCCTTCCTTATACTTGCGCATCGACCCCTCGATCCTTTCTCGATCGTCCTCGAGATCCCGCATCGGTGCACCATCCCCGAGCCGAATCCCGGTCACCGTGTAGCGGTCCTCCTGCGACCGATTCCCTTCCTTTCACCCGCCCTTCGTAACCACCCGTTGACCCCTCGAATCCCTCCGTCTGTCTCGTATGAACTTAGGGAACGATTTTCATCGACGAATCGTTGCGCGCTACTGCGGCAAGACGGGCGCCACTGCTTGCTTGGAGTTCTACTTCGAACTGCTTAAAAAAAAAAAGAAGAAAAAACAAGAGAAAAAAGGAAAAAAAACAACGGCAGCAAAGAGAAAAGGAGTCGCGCCAGAGAGAGGTGGGCAAAGTACTATTTCGATCGTTAGTCGGTCAAGTGGCGGCTTCCACTCGAACCTGAGATGCGCGATGTCGAGCGAACTAATTAATAGACTCTGAAATAGAAAGCGAATATCCTTTAGTACAAAGGCTCACCGATCGAGCTTGACTTAGAAGGGCTCGACAAGACACGTAAAAATCTCTCTCGATAGTAAACTAAATTCATAGAGACTCGGGATATCTCCGTTGTTAATTTTTCTAATTGCGAGGTAACCGAGGGAAGTCTCGTTTCATCCCATTTTTTTAATTACTCCGACTTTCGGCATAGTTTCATTACTTAACGTTACGTGTTTCAGCGCGAGATTATATTATTATGTAACGTATTGCATTGTACAATATATAACGATACACACGGCGCGCGCGAGAGATTGAGATAAAGGTTGACACACGCCACTTGACCGATTAAGCGCTGCTTTTGCGAGCGCGCCGATTCCGCTTTGCGAGATTACGCCGGCGAGACACACTCCTGCGGAGTCCAGATCGCAGGGGAGGAGAGAAAAGCTGCGAGGGGGCTGTATACAGGCAGAAGGAAAGACGTATACATAGGTGACGTATGAGGAAAGGGCCGACGTGCGTTTTCGAAGTAGTATTTTATCCAGCTCTGGCGCCACGAAGGCGACGATTCTGAGAGCGTGTGGCGGTCCGAGCGTGTAAAGAAAAAAAAAAAGCGGGTAAAGAGAGGACTGTTTTACGCGCGCGATCAACGAGTGGAGAAGACTCCTCAGGGAGGGGGGCAAGCCCTGCCTGCGAATTTGGAATCGCGAGAAGAGAATAAAAAGAATGATAAGGAAAATCAATCCGGGGGAGAACGGAACTAATCGCGCGAGAGGCGTATCCTCGTGCAAGAAGAGGAATTTGTAAGACGACGCATCGACGCGCTCTGAGAGACGGCGAGGTCCGTCGCGAACGCACAAATAAGATGCTTGTTTTTTTTTTATTTGTTTTTTTTTTAATCGTATAGCTTTTAATTCGCGTTTTAATTACAAGGTGATTAAAATCTTTTTATTTAGATTGCGTTCGTATGCAATATATATTGGAGACACAAATCCAAGTATTAAAAAGACATTTTCTCTCTTAAATATACGATATACATTATTCACGATATTTTTTAATTATTTTTAATAACTATTACAAGTGACATTTAATATAATAAAATAATGCAAAATAGCTTTTTTTGTTACTTGGAAGTATTTGACTAATTTGACTAACTATTGAACTAATTATTATAATTATTGGAATTATTAAACGTGAACTGTTCTAACATTAATATCGAATTTGGACATCATAAATTATATTCGATGTCATTTTACTAATATTTTGATTGAATTGTTAAAATGCATACGAAATGTTATTTTTTTAAATTATTTATTCAAAAGATAGAAGTGTGAGTGGAAAATCTCAATTACTCTGCGTACGTATTTCATTTTATAATTATTGCACGAGATTTTTTGAAATTGTACTTCTCTTCAACTAGAAATACTTTTGTAGAATTCTATGTAGAATTTATAATTGAAATTTTTTAAGAGCAAATTGAATCACATTTAAAAAATGTGTAAATGAGAAGAGAAAATAAAATATCAGTTAAATTTAAGAATTTTATATTAACAAGGACTTAATATTTCAGATTTAAAATTCTTTACTTTTAAAAATTAGAAAATTAGAAACTTTTGATTAAAATTTTCTTGAAAAAATAATTCGTTTTATTTATCAAAGAGCTCGGAAGCTTTGACGATAAACTTGTATGCAATAGTTTAGAAAGAATTTGAAGTCAATTGCCTGATCCTTTGAAAACAGAGAATTTCAACTTCAATCACTTTTATTCTAATTTGTATATAGCATACCAGAGATAATTATGGAAAATTTTCAAGTAAAAGTCAAATTAGTCGTCTTTTGTAATTGCATACAAAAAAGTTTATAATAGAATTTTTAAATATGTTTAATAATCTATGGAAAACATGCGGTGCATTTTATTGAAACTTTTCGAAGCGATAACAGACATTTGATGAATTAGAATAAATTTCAATTCTCTCAATCTTTGCATCACTGCGCGGAAGTGACGACATATGAACGTTTTCCGAGTTACACACCGCGTATTGATTTAACATTCCCCTTTATTTGCTGACGTTGCCTTACGGTATTGCGTGCGTTCGCGCGCGCCACGACCGTGAAAAAAAGATCTATCTGCATTCTGCAGCTCTCCATGTTCTCTTCCTGTGCATAATTATTCGCTGTCTATGCTCGTACCTTCGATATCTACTACTATTCTCGATACATATGTGTGTACGCGTGTGTATCTACATCTATATAAATGTATGCGATTCTGTATATCTGTTTTGTATATATATACGGAAATGTTTACTCTCTTCTTCTACTACTTTTTAATTTACTATATATACTTGTCGAAGGAACGCACGCAACTGGCTTCCGCGATCCGATCCGTCAAATTGGATTATTGTCTCTCACAATTAATATAATCGTCGAATTCTTTATTACAGTTGACAGTTTATAATACTACAATTTTTTCTATTTTAAAACGATAGTAATTATTTTTTTAACCGTTTTTTACATCAACATATAATTTTTAAATGATTTTACATTCATTAGTATTGTACTTTGCGCAACTTAATGAAAAAATACGCGCAATGTTGAAAAAATTTTGAATTAAATAAAATTGCATCATTTTTTGAAGCAATTTTTATATATATCTTTATGATTGCGTAATATTGCGCAAAGTGAATTTACCGTAATTTTATTCGTTAGAAGATACAATTTGCAATACGAAAGCGGAGAGACGTATTTTGTTCGAACCTTCTCATTCGAGAACAGGATCCTTTGCGCCCAGGCCCTTGCGTCGTTCCATTTCAGTCTATCTCGCTGCTACTTATCTACCTGTGGCTGCACTAATAAGCACGTGTCGCATTCTTCCGAGCACCGGAGATGTCCTCGAATCATCGTCGACCGAGAGAAGCGTACGTACACACACCCACAATGCGCAATGCGTCACCATCGTCCGCCGATGACGACAACGTCGCGGTTGTCGTTGTCGCCGGCGCGATAACGATCGTGCTCTCGATCGACTTGGGAACGAGTCCCCAAGTTGCAGGCTGTCACGGGAAACGGTTCCCGAAGATCCCAAAGATATTTTTTTTTTCGGTGACACGAATAGAATCCTCAAGAATTGGAAGCGATGCGAGGGAATTTTTTTATGGCGAAAGCGGCCATCGGTGATGACGATCGATCGCTTGCTCTCTGTCTCTCTAGCTCTTTCTCTCCTAAAGCTCGATCGTGAACTTTCTTGTCATCGGACGTGGATCAATTCACCCGCATTTCTATTGTGACCCTCTTTAGCGCAAACTGCCTGTGCGACGGTGTGCGACGCTTCCTCTTTTATTGATGTCTTTTATTCGCATCAAACGTTTATATTTCGCGTTATTAATTTTCTTTTTAGGCAAAACTTTTGTCGAAAACAAAAGATTACTTTGTTGAGAAAAGCGGGGTATTTTAATAGAAAATATTAGTAATTCCCTTTGAACACCCGAGAAAAAATGGTAAGAAAAAAGAGAAAAAAGATCTGATAACATGTAATATTTTATATGATCATATAAAATTACATACAATTATGAAATCTTTTCATAATTAATTATATATATTTATATCTGACCAATTATACCATTTTTTCTCGGGCGTGTTAACAAAAAAAGTATAAAATTTTTTTTTGTGATGATAAAAGTAAAACTTTATTTATTTATTTATTTTTAATATATTCTATTTTTTAATTATTACTACTTTGACATTTGACATTACTACCTTTTTCGTAATGTTAATTAATTCATCATTATTCGCAGATAGACGTTAATCAAAGATAATTGTCAATTAACACCGATATGATTTTACCTATAATCAGAAGATTGCGGAACAAATCAAGTACAATATAGTAATTAGTTAATCATGAATAGCAATTAATTCTTGATAACAATAATTACCGGGCGATATTAAATACTGCGAATTTACGACACAGATTATTTTGATCATTACAAGATTAATTATTGTTATGATTATGAAGATATTTCGAGTCTTCCATCACACTTGACTATGTTTGCGCACCGTCGACACAGGTAAGATAAGCGTTTCTATGTTTTTTTTTTCATTATCTATATCTGTAAACATCAATCCCTTTCTTTCTCTCGTGTCTCTTTCTATTTGGCGTAGCAATTGCTTATTGTATACGCGTTCTGTCGAGGAGAAACAATTCAACGATCGATGCTTACGGAGATTTTTCGTCTTTCTCGGACGAATTGTTTCACGCGCAGAGATTTAGCGTGATTGATGCGAAGCAGCTTAGATTGCATCGAATCGAGCCTTCAATCAATCCCGGTGATTGTACATACGCATATTGTATTACACTGTAATGATTGTTATACAGCACAGCACGCGCGCGAATTATCCGACGACAGCGTCGAAGTTCGCGATAGCGCAGCGAGCGGAGGGAAGAATGTCGACTGCTCGTGAGAGAAAGATTAAAAAAAAAAAAAAAAAAGACATCTCTTTCGCGGATGAAAACGCGGTTCGACTTTTCGTCTTTTAATCCTTTGCGCTTTGGCAGTCTCTTCGTAAAAGCAAGATAACGCTAGCTCAAATTTATCTTTCAAGATTATAAAATATTTAATTCGCTTTCTCTTCTTTCAGAATTAATGTCTCCTTTTGCATTAAATCGTACTGCTTATTTATGTTGGCAAAAAAATAGTTCTAATAAAGACGATTAAAACGTCAAAATTCATACGATACGTAACTTCAATAACTTTCGATTTATGCTATCTAAAAATAGAGCGATCAATGATAGGTAGAAAGGAGACAGTGGAATGTTAAAGCTATTATCTTTCTCAGTACAATATTTATCTATGAAAAACTTATGGGACTTTTTTGTGAATTTAACAATTTTTCGCGTTTAATAATATTGCAAATAGATCGTAGAAATTTCTCAGTGAAATCAAAGTATATATAACGATTAGTATGATCCCGTGTCTTGTTTCGCAGACAACAATAGCATTGGAAGATTATAATCACTATTTTGCGTGCTCGAAACGATATTCCTAAAGAAACATTACGAGCAGCTATTACACGAATGACGCAAGAAGAGTGCAAAGGATTAAAGCGCAAATCGATCTCGCGCGAGAGCGCTCAAGATTTAATCGTCGAACCGAGAGAAAGGTTTCGTCCTCGCTAAGAAGGGACGCTCAGAAGTATCTCTCATCGACGACGATGGGCGAACGAGATGCCGGAAAGAGAAAAATCGATGAATGCGACTCGAAAAGAGAAAAGCGAAAAGAGAGTGAAAAATATTTAAAAAAAATGAAAAAAAGCAGAATAATGAAAAGAGGAAAGATGGAGAAAAGCTGCGTCAGTATATATGTATACCAAAGCTGTTGCTGCTCTTTCTCTCGATATTGTGCGTTGCTGGATGTTACGTACGTGTTTGTATACGTGTGCGCGGTGTGTGCCCGTGTGTGGTTTCCGCTTTTGCCTAATCCGCGATCTCTATACTTGCCTGCCCGATTGCCTGCCTCGCTTTCTGTGAGATTTCGTGAATCGAAAAAGCGATTAGCGACTTTTAAAGGTCAGTGCAGTAGATACAATTGTGTAACGAGCGACAGAAATTCATAAAAACATGTTTGAGGAAAAATTAGACACGTGTCAAATTTTATGTTGTTTAATCAAGATATAGATTTAGAATAGAAGCGCTATTCAATTTATCATAAAAGTATTAATTCAAAATAGGATTGAAAGAATTATGTTCAAATAGGAAAAGGATTGTTTTATGGACAATTTCATAATGTTAGAATATTTAAACAGAAAAATAAGAAAATATTTTTCTCCAATAATTGAACGATAAATTTTAGAAAATGTCGATCTAATTTTTTACATTTTTGCTTTTTAAAATCTGTGTTACGAACTTATATATCTAATCTTTGATGAATTGCAAGATATATCTTATTTTATTAATTTTTAAAAAAGGTGGAATTATTTGTACAACAGAATATGTAATATATAAATGTTCGAATTTTTATCATTACTGTCGCTGGTTTGCCTTTCGATTGACGAAATCTTGTTGCCTGCCCGCTTTGGCTGCTTGGCTGTCTGTGTGTGTTCGCCTTTTTCCTCTCTGCAACACTATCCATTTTCCCTCTTCGTGCATCGTGCTGTCGCTCTTTTTAGAAGCGATCATCAAAGCTCAATATAATCAATACTCAGTGCACATACATTACTTCATGCCATCATACGAAACAACGTGTCTTCTATACAGTCTGTCCCATGAAAAAATCTGTTTTATAAAGAATATAGAATCGCTGTTTTCTTTCTCGTGATGCATTTATTATTTTATTCCTCAAATTAAATTAAATCTTAAAATTTTCTCAGATTATATTTTCTTAAACGTAAAATTTGCTAAAAATTGTAGTATAATATGACTCTTATTTAAGGTTTAAACATTTACGAGTATATTGTTTTACTAATTTACAGATTTTATTTTATACATTTTTAGCAGTATGTAATTAATTTCTATAAATTTTTGTAAAACGGTTTAATTTTTTTATTACAGTTAGTATATACATTTCTTTCTGGGACATTCTGTATGATACTTATCAGTGATACAATACATGAAAGATATATATTTAATCCTTTGTACTCAAATGTGTGCTGTAGCGCTTTATAATGTTATAATATCGCTGTTAGAATCGTATCACGAATCAGTCGGTAGATATAATCGAATATTTAGTGTGTAGTAGAGTGACATTTGCAGTATTTTTTAATATAGCATTCTATGATTAAATATATAGTTTTTGTGCACAAATTCGAGTGCAAAGAATTGAATAATATTTTCTAAAGAAAAGATACTTTCTTTATTTTTACATCTCTATTCGTTCTCTTCTGTTATTTAGAGATTTTATTCACAGAGCAATTATTTATATACTTTACATGTGCTCGTCACTTCAACTATCACTGACTTCTCGCTCTTCACGTTTCCTCCCTACCTTATGCACTTCCAACTACACGCCGATATTTCTTTTATACCGATACGCACGCTTGTATTTCAAGCCGAATGAGAAAAGGAGCAAAACATGAACAAGAGAGTATAGCAATATCCACGATTGAAAAGTCGTCGACAACTCGATTAATCGCACAGATACTCATATTCTCGCGTCCATTTAGCGCGTTGTTTAATCCTAAATGCAATTTTTCCAAGTAGCATATATCCGAAATTTTTTATACTTTCAATTCAATGACGTATCAATTGATAAAAAAGAAATTAAAACCATATTCGCTTTTAGCGCTAAATGTGACGCGTTAATAGGAATTGTAATTAATCGGGGTTGTTGTTAAAAAAAAGAAGGAAATATATGTATATAGTCGCTTATCCTTTTTTTCCTCTTTGATTCATGGACCGCGTCGTTCATTCGCTCATACGCTCATTCACTCATTCGCAGCCCATCACCCTCCCAGCCCCTTCCGCTCCAATTACGTGTGCGTGTGTGTTTTTACTTTGCATTTATCCAGGTGCTCGCAACCCTTTGAATCTCGAAGTGCCTCGCGCCGGGATATATCCCAACGGAATATGTATCGATTGGTTCTGTATTAAACTCTTTGCATCCATTATATCACAATTAGTATCGTCGTATAAATTGATTATTATAATTAAAATTTTATAGGAATACCTTTTTTATTTTATTGCGATAAATTTAGAATTTAAATACATATTTTTAACACAATTTGAATCAAAGCCGATTAATCATTGATTTTTATCGATTGGTCGAGATATTTTGTTCCGAATTAAAGGATTGAAATTTCCGAGATCCAAATTTCTACATCATAATATTTAGCTGTCTTCATAAATGTTCTTGTGTAGAACGTTCTCTTATATTTCTAGATTTTACTATATTATAACAATTAACTTTATATTATATTCTTGTAGACTTTTAAATCTTTAATTTAAAATTTAATTAAGAATTTTTTAATTAAAATACATAATTAAATATTATATCTTTAACACATTTTCACTCGTTTCACTGTAGAAATGCTCGACGAATTTTTTTTTTTTTCCTTGCCTTTTTTTATCGATTCGACCCAATGGCACGCTTGTGACTCAAAGGGGTCCCGCGAGGCCTGTGACTTGCCTTGCGCATTGAATCTCACTCAATGGAAGTGTACTCTATTCTGTACCCTGCGGTGTACCTCTACCTATACACTCTACTATATGTACCGCTCTTTTCGTTACTGGGTGTCCAAGAAATCCCCACCTATCGCCCAGAAAAAAAAAGAAACACTGCAGCCGTGGATCTCCTCGATTGCGCTCGATCCTTCCTGGCCCCTCCGATCGAGAGGAGGGCGCGCAGGGACGATCGACGACGATCGAGGGCTCGAATCCGTCCAGCCAAAACTCGTAGAGTATTACAAAAGGTGAAGCTAACAAAAAAAAAAGAATCAAACACGCTAAACGCGCGCTTTGTCAGAAGGAAGATCTACCAAAAAAAAAAAAAAAAAAAAAAAAAAAAAAAAAAAAAAAAGACAACAACAACAACAAGGCGACGACAATTACAGCAACAGGAACAACATCTACAACATCAACAACAACTACAACATGAACAAGCAACATCAACAACAATATCGCCATTGACCGATACAACATCAAGAACAACTACAACATCAATAACAAGCAACAACATGCCGACACGTTTGTGCCGTCGCGATCGACGGTACCCTCCGGGCCGGGCACATTACTTTTTCTTCCAATCGCGCTCTCGCCCGCCCGCCTCTGCCCACCTGTCTCTGCGTCGCGGGCAGGTATCGCGTACCACGTATACGCGATATATTATAAACAGTACGCCAAGGCGAGCCCGAGGGCGCGCCGCGACGTCGTCCGTGATAGACAAAAAAAAACAAAAAGGGAAAAATATTGAGACGAGGGGAAAAAAAATAAAAGACAAACGAAGGAGACCCCGAAAATACTTTTCACTGTGTCCCACTCTCTACGCGCGCCACCGCCTCAACATTATCCGGCCACAGTAATAATCCACCTCTTATCTTGCTTGCCCAGTACCCACCACCGACTTATCCATCACATAAAAAACCTCTGTCTATATATATATGAATATATATACCTAACTACTATATATACTAATATACTACTAATATTACTACTATACTTACTGAAAGAAAGATGCGAAGAAAGAGTAAAGAAAGATATACGACTCTCGCTGTCTCTCTTTCTCTCTATCTCTTTCTCTATCTCTCTCTTTCTATCTATCTATCTCTCTCTCTCGCTCTCTCTAACACTGGTGGTGGTTGTCTGTGTTGTGCTGCCTCTATCTGTCGTAGAGCAAGGAGGCTGGCATCCGCACTCTGGTCGCACTCGACGACCAGGGAGGTGAGTGAATTCGCTTGTTAGCAATTAAGTAAATAGCCGAAAGTAAATGAACGAGGGTAGGAAAACGAGGGGAGGAATCCACCCGTTGCCGTAGTCACGCACACCCTTACGATTCGACACACCGTCTACACCCATTTAATGTTACCCGCGCGAGTGTCCTCTCCACGCATAAATAACACGCATATACACGCATACACGAGGAAATTTTAGACGGGAAATTTGCGAGAAAAAACACAATTATTATGTCTTGAGAGAAATGTGCTTCGCAATTTTATCAAATAAGATTAATTTAATGTTTGAAAAAGCTGTTTTTATTATAAATTCACGATTTATTATAAATTAAAACTTTTTTTTTTAGTTAATTATTTGTATGTGGAAAAATGTTGTTTACGTTCTAACTAAAAATTTAATATTATTTACATTTTTAAATGACATGAAAATATGAAATTAAATTTAATCACATTTAATTTATGTGGATTGCGCATCGATTGCGAATACGAAGACGCGGTTTTTTTCGTTCGAAATTATTTTTGTCTCGCATTTTTTTCGTATTCTATGTCGAACCTAATAACGATCGAACAGCATTCGGATCAACAATGTTACACTGTGTTGATTTTTTTTTGACCGCTCCTAAAACTGCTGTTTATGCTTGCTAAGAAACAATTCCAAGAAATCCGTTAGATCTCTTAAACATCTACGTAATTATTCTCATGTTGATAATTTATCACACATGACGGTATAACGATTAAACACTGACTCTTCCGGTCGTGATACAGGACAGCACTCAATGCAAAGGGAAATGTTTGCACAGTACTATTTTCTTAAATATCACACACGATATCAACAATTTTGTGAATAAGTTTGTCGATAAAACGACCGAAAGGGTTAACGCAGTGATCTCGAGAGTCAACGCTCGAATTGTTCGCGGCTTGCTAGCCGCTAACCAGACGGAAATTGTTCTATTAACACGCTCAGAGTTCTACCGGGCCCGAAGTATTACGGATATAGGCCCGTCGCCATCCCCGAACCACCCCGGTAAATTACGGTCGATGCATGCGCCGGATATTCGGTGTCCCAATTCAACGAACGTTCGCCGCGGCAATAATTCGTCAGCTTCGAATTTTGCAGAGGTGCGAAACGCGAAGTCCCGCGGAACAACGTTCCGCGAACTGCTGAATATTAATAACGTTAACTACTTGCACCAATCTTACGTCCGACGAAACCTGAAAGAGCTTTTATAAGTCGATTTCTCGGCTGAGAAGCGTTTGGCGACACTCTTTAATACACACGAATAAAACCGTACAATTCTGGATTGACCTCCGAAATATCGATTAATCTACGCTCAATTTAACGCGCTTGAAATTACTCGCTTTGACGCGGTTTAACGATATAATACCGTGCTTTTGACGTCGTTACGCGAGCTCGGTTAGGTCCGCTTTAATATTATCCTAATCATCTTTGTCTCCCCGAGAGGAGAGCGACTCGTAGATATCGTCATTCTCCCTCATGACAGAGGCACGATAATGAAGATCATTTCGCGCCCGATTAGCAAATACGATTAGGGAGATCGACAGCCAACTGCCACTCTCCACAATTGCAAGTTGTATATCATTACTGCCGGATTTACTACGATTATTACTGATTACAACACCATTGCTCATCACTGACACCACTGATACTGCTGATATTACTAACGTTACTACTTGTACCATTACACTAAGGCTGCATCTTGGGTTATCGAAAGTTTCCCACTTGTTATACTGACAGAGAATTCTCTATAACGAAAAAAAAGCTTAATTTTCTTTAAAAATTTATCGATCAAATTTAATTTCCGTAAAGATTCAACTTTTTTATAATATCCGTTCAGTGATTTTATTCGTTATATGTCTTTCTGCGATTTAATATTTCTGTAATTTATGTAGGAAGATGAAAAAATGCATTCTTTATTATATTAAATTTTTCTATAGATAGAAGTCCGGTTTAAACACTTCTTTTTTTAACGACTCGACATGCAGCTCGTGCAACCACGACGATGAACTATTCAGGCCCATTTTTACGCGTCATCACATTATAATATTAAAATCTGCTAATAATGTTGTAAAGGAAAAATTCATACGGTACGCGCATCAAAATGCACTACAATGTACATTGCGTAAAAGTGGGTCTTCACTAATAAATCAGTCATCGCTGCCACTGCTATCTCGCTGCCGCTATTTGCCAGCGTTGACGTAAAGCGATCGTACACGATCTAACAAATTACGCGTATTAATACTGCTTAAATAAAGCGTGTAACGCCAAGTCATATTTTTGCCACAATATTTCACCGATATTTTTTATCTTAACACAGTATATTAGTGTTAATATACACTTCAACATAATATATCAGTACTTCGATACTCCTTACCAAATCTTTATTCATTTTTTTTTCATGTGTACGTATTTCTTTAATATAGATATTTAGATTCTCCTCCGTATATTGATATTTTGGCTCTTTTATAATAGTTTTTTCTGCGATTTTTTCCATCACGCCGCGCAAGCTGTTAGATGCTGTATGAAACGCTTAACGAGCATCTCTACAATGCTCTCAATTAACAGCTGTTGTTCAGATGGTGTAATCGATCCCGTTTCTCCCGTTTCCCGTTCTGTGGCCCATTTTACACTCACACATTCGCTCCCTTCCCTCACGCCCTTTTATTCTAGTAGAGATTTCAGACACTGTCTCTCATCCAGACGACACACTGGATATGTTCGCGTACAGCGGTGTGCAATAAACGGCATTCGGCGCGTATGGGAATGCCCTTACCATGCTCTCGAGTTTTCCCTCCACAGCCCTTTGCCGGCCCTTTGCCGGTATGGCGAAATTGAGAAGCGTGCTTAAGTGCACTCTCTTGCCGATCGAACGCTGTTATCGCACCCGCTTTCGTGTATGGGATGCATCGGAATAATTAGGACAGTCCGGCGAATTAGGCATCGCGACAGTTTTCGATGATCGAGCGTATATTATTGCATTTGCATATTATCATAATTGATTTCACTCAAATCGACATATATTCAGTATAATCTAGGTGGCAATATATAAAATACATAAGTAGCGCGTTTTAAATAATGCCGCGAGTAGAAGCGGTAATTCATATTGGTGCTAATTGGCACTAATTTGCCGCAACGCGATGAGACAAATGATTATAAGATAATATTATTACGTAAAATTCTCATTGTCATAACTGTCGGATGGCAACAGCTGTGATCAGCTTAGCGATTGATTCACCACTTATTATCAATATAAAGTGATTTGGTCACCATAAAACGATTATGAGCGATATTGATTCTGGACATCACTTTTCGCGTCAGCTGCCTCGTTAATCATTGAAAGCGTCGCGATGTCGCGCTCGTGTGTGTCGCAATTAGCCCGATCGATTCCCACTTCACAAGATACACGCTGTAATTCTGGACTGTATACTTTATCTCTTTACTGTGTATCCGTAGCCATTCGCGAAGCTTATGGCTGTGTCGCTTTTCAGAGTTTACGTGCAAAATATATATGTATAGAAATATATATTTATATATTTTTTTACATGCATATATAAATATATATGTAAATATATACATATATATCTTTCTATATATGTATTAATATGTACTTATCTATCTAGTGTACATATTATTAAAGTATTATATCCTATGACTCGTAAAACGCTTGTGACGGTAGATATCTGTCTGTCTGTCTGTCGTAACTTGTTTTATTTCTCTCCCTTTTTTTTTACCTGAAATTTCTCTTTCACTTCCTCTCTTTTTATCTATCTCCGTCTCTCTCTCTCTCTCTCTACCTCTCCTTGGTTTTACAATCTGTGCATCGAACGTGCAACTACTCTCTGTCGGCCGTCGTCTTACCAAAGTAGATATACTGTCCCCGCTTTAACTTCGAGTCGCTGGCCGAAACGTGTGTGTCTTATCAGGAAGGACTGTATATAAAATGTGCAGTGTCGAGAAAAATCGATCTTCTAATCGAAAACTCGGGACGAAATGAACGTACGAGAGCGAAACGTCACAGAGAAACTCCGCTCGGCGCGATCGCGCCAATCGCGCTAATCGCCGATTAGCACGGCGAGAGTAATTAGCAGCATCCCACTGCTACGTGAGCATTATCATCATTATCATCATTGTTGTTTCACATTGCCATCATCCCGGCTGACTCGCGTGTGTTTGTCTAAAAATTTCGCGCATTACTCGACGCTCAAGAGACGCGCAACAGACACGACAATCGCGCGGAAAATAAGAAATAGTTTGATTTAATCTCACAATTTTCACATTTATTTGTTATTCGCGAAATGCGCCGATTATTATCGTTGTCAATCGCTAATGTTATTGGAAAACGCTATGAGAAGGTGTGAAAATTATTTTCAGATTCAATAAAATTTTGAGCGTTTTGTATCACTTTTCCGCTTGTAAATGTTTTGGTATCTTTTTGAAAGGCCAACTATGCTATTTGGGGAAGTAAATAAAAAGTAATTTGATTCGCGATCTAATAACTTCCACTCCATCTATTATTCGCGGAGAAATTTCTTCTGGTAGTCGAAAGACGGCGTCTCTTGTTCGTCGATAATCGCAACTCTATCAATGTCATCGACGCATCTCACTCATTAATTCTCCATTAGATTGCCTCATCATTAGTCATCGTTATTCTTAATATCGTCAACGTCGTGTCCGTCATCGTTGTTACCTCTCTATTCGTTCGCCTATGATTTCTAACGTAAGCGGTAGATGCAGGGACCGGTTGCAGTCGTGAGAAAAACAGATTTAATTAAATTTCTTAATTGAATTATTTTGAAGGCAATTTAATCTTGATTTCAAATAGCGTCTTCTTTTATCCTGACATTCTATCTAGATAGAATTTGAACAACTTTAATTACTTTTTTTCTACTTTTCAAGATAATATATAACTCTCTGTTATTAAAATAAATTTATTTAATCGCGAATAACGTTAAACGGCGCGGCTGCAACTA